AAAACCACTGCTATTAGGCATGCACTTTGCTTTAAATGAAGCCAAAATAAAGGAAGTAATAATAAAATAATACGTAATATTTTAAAACATTAATTATCTATAAATTCAGGAATGTGTTGATTTTCTTACTTATTAGCATCATTTAAAGTGATTCCAATCTGAATGAGTTACTGGGGTTTTAAGGATTCTCCAGACATACAATTCATGCTCAAAAGATCAAAGAACCACACAAAGAAAGAATTCCAACCTTAAGTATGCAAATTGGTTAACTCTGAAGGTATCGATAAACCACAAACAGCCTTTTTTCTTCATGTGACATTCACATTTCAACATACTGAAAACTGAAATAAAAATTCAAGCCTAGGAAAAAACCTGCCCTTGTGATTAACAAAATAAGTAGGGTGCTATACTCGGTTTCTGCTGACACCAACTATGGAAATTCTATCTAACCTTAACCTTCTCTGTTCCCCATTACCTACATGGAGGAAGGTGAAATGAGCAAACTGAAGACAAATCTTAGCCCCTACAACGAGCTGAATCACTATACTGCATGGTTTTCTTTAACCATTTTGAAAAGCAAAAGCAAATTCCACTTCAAAGCCTAATACACTGAAAGATTCTAGCACCTGGATAACATTTTTTAAAGCATTTTCAGCTTTTTGTTACACATTCTGGAAATCACAATCAACAATGTCACATATTGTGTCTATGCATTACGGAAATGAGATAAACTCATCTACAAGTTCCCCGCCCCCTTCAAATGATGTTTAAATGAAAATTAACTCTATACATCCACCTGACTTTCCTCAGAAAGGACGTAAGAGTTGGATTTGATTAAACCCATGGATTGGGTTCCACTGCCCACTAAAAAAGCATATTGAATTCAAGTTCCTTGGGCAAAAAGTCTCCTTTATCTACATCTATCCCAGTGTTCCGTATTTTCTATGGAGTCAAAGACTGCGGTGGCTTTCTCCTCCAATGCTGTTGCTGACAGTCACAATAGCAGGTCATCAGTATTAAAAAAAAAAAAAGCACTGTTAATCTTGCTGACAGCATGTCTGAATCACTAGGGGATTATAACACAAGCAGCTGCTATGACCTCAAGGTCCCACCTTAAGCAGCAAAAGAGAACAGGTAGGTAAGGAAGAACAGCACAGGCAAGCTGTAAAATATCATAAACCCACCACATTAGAAGACCCAAGCATTACTCAGCTTAAGTATTCCTGCACTTCCATACCACAATGTAAATGAGATCTAATGTACGTGCAACAGAGTCCTCAGAATGGCACAGGTCACTTTGGCTCATTTTCAGAAGCAGAGAGCATTCCACTGCAGCTGACATTAACAAGGCTGCCCATACCCTGCTTAGCCCATCATAGCCTCCTATGTACATTCTACACAGACTGGGCTAAATAACTAGAGAAAATGCACAATTATAGTACTCCTGCTACAGCACACAGCCAGGGAAAAGCAACACCTACCCTCTCCAATTCAGTTTTATTCTCAAGAATGCAAAAGGGACAGGCACAAACAGAGTGTCTCCCCTCACCACATCACACCATTTAGGAATGCTGGAGAATTAAATGCACTGTTTGCTCTAAGAAGTACAACATTTAAACCTAATGTAAACAGCGCAAACAGCAAAACCCCTCACAATCAGAAATGAAACATCAGTAGAAGCTGCCCCTTTCAAATACTCAGAACCACAGTTTTTTAATATAGCAAGCTGAAAAGTTTTATTTCCAACAAAACCAAACTGAATAGACAAAATACTTGTACTTTTGAACCTGTTCTATTTCACACATGGATCCACAATGCTGTCACTTGTACAGCTAGGGTGGAAGGGAAAGGTGGGAAAATTTTGGGGCCCCTGGTAAGAACAACCCCTGAGGCACTGCAGTGTGTTTTGTACAGTTTTTTTATCAGAGGAAAAACATTATTTATCGCTAACTTCTCATTTTCAATCTAGTATCAAACGTTTGTGAGAATTCTACAGAAAGACAAAGACTCTTTTCATGCAGTCAGGAAGGGGGAACCACACAACACTCTTCAGATGAAAGCATCTCCCAGGTACATACAGCTGGGACTTTCAAAAGAGCTTGAGGAAGACTTATTTATGACTCACTCTAAAGGGAGATGGGCATTTAACAACTTTTGGCCATTTTCAGAAATCTCAGATAACATTCCCCCCCCCCCCCCCCCATTGATTTTTATCTAATCTTTTCAAACTAGTTAAAAAAAGAGGTGTGCATGTGTGGTAGGTAATTTCCTACAGAGTTAAAATTTCAGACACGCAAAATTACTATTTATAGGTTATCTTAAAAAACACATATGAATTATTTATTTTTGTGAACTTCCTTTATATAACATAAATTGCATCCTCATTATAAAAAATGCTGATGAGTATTTCCAGTGCTGAAACTCTCTTACCTGTATGCAAGTCTGTCCACATGAACATTGGAAGACTGGCATTTGATCATTGTCAAATCACTGATCCAGACCCAGCACACATTGGTTTCCATCCAGTATTTTCCAGTTATGGTCCACAGACAAAGTTGATTACATCAGCTCATTTTATGTTGGACAAGTATCAACGTCACAAATTACTGCTGGGGGCTACTCCCTAATTTTAGTGGGGGGAAAAACAAGGAAAAATTACCTAGGATCATGCATTCTTCTGTGTGATTCTACTGGTCCAGTGAACGAGGAACGATGCTCCAAATAAGAGGAAAAACAACTGGCACATACAGTGATTTGACAATAATATTCATTCCCCCAGGGTTCTGAGTGGACAGTAAGTAAGAGCAACATGAAGCAAGTGTTTAGTATAAACTAAAACAGTTTATAACTTTGTATGCAAAACCCATGTCACCATATTTTCATAGTGGGAATGTCACACTACTGGGGCAAGCCCGATATATTCCATCTGCATACATCTGAGCCAAATCCACTTCATCATGAGTGGTGAAGGGCATCATGCTTCACCCTTCCATCTCATATGACCATTTTTGCAGACGTCACAAATACAGTTATCACTGCTGCAACAATGAAAAAGAGAAAAGCAATGACCATGTAAAACCCACCAGCCTGGCTTTCAATTTAGATTAGCTGGGCCCTGCAACAAGAACAGTTACTGAATGGAAATTCTTTCCAAAGAGGATAGGGAAAAAAGCTTATCTTCTCAAGAGGAAAGAAAGAAGTTCATAGTCAGCAGAGATAAAGCTGCCTCAATAGTTTGTGTGCTCATGCGTGATTTGCCAATATTGCTGCAAGAAAACACTCAAGACTTTCCTCTTGAGTTCAGTATTTCATGTATTGAGTAAAGATTCCAATGCAAAGCTTATGGAGCAGGAAGATGGTTGAAAAAAGAAACCTGAAGTACTACACGTTCCCATTTACACTCCCTATTTATAAGAAACCCAGAATAATTCCAAATACCTGAAGTCTAACTGACCACCACCGACAGATAAACGGATACTGCAAGGTCATGTCAATAGCATTAGGGGCAGAGTGAGTGAAAGGGGCAGGCTTACACACGGAACAACAACAAAATCTCTTTTCCTCCTCTATTCAAAGAGCCAGGAAAACCCCGGGCACACTGAGGGTAAATGACTGGTGAGCGGAGAGTTTTCTGTAAGTCTGTCTATTTTTGTTCACTATCACCCCAGATTTTCAAAGGGCTCTTCTGGGAAATAGCCTCAGGGTCTCTGGAAAGAAAATAATTGATTCTAGGGTGACTCATCTGTCCTCTTGTCCCCCAAAGAGGTCTGAGAGAAAATCTTACGGAGATAGTACCGAAGTGCACTTAAATACAAGTTTCTGGGTTTACATACTTTTCAGACTTGCCTGAACAAAGTGTTAAGATTTTAAAGCTGATGAATTTCTCACATACTGCACAGGAAAACACTTTTATCACAGGCATATTTGTCTAAGTCTGAACTTACTTTTGACGATGGGTATTACAGTGTAATCAAGGTTCATAAGAAGAAATTTTTTTAAGGTAAACACCTGAGAATATCAGCAAGCATATTTGCCCCTCAGAGCACAAATTATTTCCATTCCACACTAAAACAGGCAGAAAAACATCTGTATGTTCATTACCTTCTATGAAGCTAATAAAGTTAATTATACTCCTATTTTTAAATTATTTCACACTGCCCTCAGTCCATACAAAATACAACCCAAATCAGGATTTTTTTGGTTGTTTTTGGGTTTTTTTGTTTTCCCTGCTCAAGGAGCAGGAAATACCAACATACTAAAACTACGCACACACAGACACACAAGGCTCCAGTAACAACCCTGCTGGCATTAACAAGCAGAGGCTGGTATGCAGGTATAAGGCTCAAGCGATTTTACTCTTTGCTGTTTAATACCATTCCTGTACCTTGTTCCCATGACTGCAACACAAATGCTGCACAATATACAAATATCAATGCAATTATCAAGGCAAAGAGAATTGTCCTGGACTAAGTCAACATATTAGGCCTCCTATTAATAAGAACGGTCTTTCAAGAGAAGCAGGGAAACATTTCACACTCTAAACATGGTCTACAATTGGAGTCGGTCATTTCTCACAGCATTTAACGTTCACCTCTGCAGCAGCAAAAACAGGATGTAACATCAGTGGGTGTAGTTCTGACTTGGAAAATTATCTTTGTTTCACAAGATAAGCTCATGTGGAAGCCCCTACGTGAGAGGGAGAGAGTAGGAGGTTACTTTGCTACAGGAGGCACTAGCTGCATTTTGTGCTTCCTCTATTCTGAAGTGGTAGAGATGGTGAAACCACACAAAGGTAATTACATTTTGAGTCTGTATCCCCTGCCATTTTTCAAAGTGTTTAATTGTTTGGAGCATACTCCACAACCTTCACAACTTTCACATTTCCCTATAGAAGAGGATTTGGTACTGAGGGAAAACAGGGAAATCCCGCAGTAACTTTCACATTTCTCATTACTGTATTTCTCATTACTGTATTAGACTTAAATAGTTTGTCTCAGTGTAAACTAGTAGTGACCACGCTAATTTCCATTTAGAGATGCGCTAGTTTAACACCCCAGTCCTTCCAATTAAAAAACACACCAGCAAACTAAAACTGGTTTTACCGAAGGAATTTTATGCAGATTTCCATTCAACTTTCTAACTATGTAATTTTAAATCACACTTGGAAAATGAAGCGAGAGGAAACTCCGCTATGCAAGATAAGTAAGTTTCAGGCGGATGGGCAGCGTCGGGTTTCGTTTTTCCTCACGAGCAAGGTCGGGCTCAGGCCGCACTGGCGCTGGGCGCTCCGGCTCTCCGCACCCGGCTCAGCCCGCCGCCGACAGGGAGGAAGACCCGATCCGGGAGCACGGCTGTGTTGGTGCGCCTGACGGCGCATGGCGGGAAGAGAGGTGTGAAGGAAAGGAAGAGGGAATATTACAACGCACCCAAACGCGCCGGGGAAGTCTCATCTATAGCAGTTGGAGCAAGGTCCAGCATTAGGAGCAGGGAGGAGGAGGAGGAGGAGGAGGAGAAGAGGCGGTACCGGCCTAGCAACCGGCTTCCCAGCACTGGGCGTGGTTTCAAGTATAGCTTCTCACTGGCAGAGCCCTTTTCGCCCGTGCCTCTTCTGGCTGTTGAAGATGCCTGAGCCGCCTCTGCGCGCAGATAGCAACGTTGTTCAAGGCAGAGATGTCCCCTCGTTGAGGGAGAAGGGAACTGGCTTTAGCCGCCTTACCATCATTATACATCTGCCGAGCCACGTTCGCTAATCCTTTCGATTTTATCGTGAGTCCAGCCGTTAGGTATTTTGGGGCGAGGTGAGAGAAGGACTGTGCTTTTCGTTTTGCTTTATAGTCGACTTCAGGAGATAAAAACTCCGAGCTGCGCAAACAAATCTGCCCAGGTCCCACAAGATGGCGGCGGGACTGTGGCGGAAGGGGCGGCTCCTCTCGTCTTGCACGCAACTTCCCATCGGCACCTTCGGGTGTCGCTTACGCACAAAATGGCTTCCGACTAGCTAGAGCGTGGGGTGGGGGAGAGAGGTGTTGTTGCTACCAGGGTGGTGTCGAGGTCGGTATGTTTATAGACGTTTATGGGTTTATGCCTTTTATACTGTTGCTGGTATGAGGATAGACAAAATAGCTTTGTATTGGCCCTAATAGCTACGCAATGGTAACAGACTTCTTTTCAGTGAGCAATTACAGACGGGGTAAGTGTGGGCATGTGTTTTGGCGGGAGTTTATACAGAAGCAAGCCCCTACTTGGTTCAGGTCTTGCTTTATCACTCTTGAGTTCATTTCTAGCGAAGATAATGTGGTTACAGGGGTGTGAAAATTGTATGCTTTCCATTGTTTTATAATCTTCAGTAATTTTAAATGATGCCTTGTCCCTGTAAACTGGCCGTTGTGATTCACGTGATAAAAAACAACTTCCATGAAGCAACTTACTCTGAAGTGCTAGTATTGTAGCTGGAGCTGCTCTATTAAAGGCCTGAAATAGAAAATTCTGGAATATTTTATCAGCTGAACTAGACAAAAGGCAACTCCATATGTGATGAAATTAGACCCATCATGTTACACAGTACTCTGGGATAGTATGCTGTTGTGAAGAGTCACGCTGTCTTTGGAACTGTATGGAAAATGGAGGCAGAAAGTAATGACCTGCACTAGAACTTGGTCAGGTAAAAAGTGACTGCTCTGTGTTCTGAAAAAATGGAGTCCTACTGAAATAGTATGGTCGGGCTCTCACCAAGGGTATCACAGCGTCCCTGCTACTAAGATGTAGCATTGGATTGGTGCTGATTCAGAAGGCAGCCAGTATCTGCTGTGAATCAATATGCATACTTTCTCCTTGGATCTGTTCCATACAAACATGTAGGGACTGGTACAGGCTAATAGAAGAGGTTTAAGGAGATGGTATGGCTGCAGGCTTATGAAAGAAGAATTTTATTAAAAAAAAATGGTTGAATGAGTGATTTACCAATTTAATACAACCATTATTTAAGAGACATAATACATTCTTTTGCTTACTTACTCCACTTTTTCCTACATTTACCTAGTTTTTATATATTTATTAAACAGTTTTCACTTTTATAGGCAGCATTTATGAGCTGTATGCAACTTTTTTAATCTCCATTTCTAAGTTGAAATACTGTATTGTCTTCATTGATAGGTTCTCGTGTAAGCTGGAACTGTAAATTGTAAATCAGTATAAATGTAGAACATAGAGCATACCAGTAAGATTAGACGTGATTGAGAAGAGATGGTCCTATATGTTTCAATTTAGAGGGCTTTGGATATAACTCTCTGGCTTGGACATACTTCTCTTGATATGCTTTTATAACAGGTTTGATCTATTTAATTTTGTAGATTCTCCTAGTTCTCCAAAAAAAATCTTTTAAGAATTTATGCCTCCTAAACTACTATGAACTTATGTTTTCTGCTATGTATTGCAAAATCAGACTTGGTATGATCAGGGTGAGTGCATTCCATTTGGTGTTACCAGTTTCACTTGTTATGTGTTGGTGCTGCTTTTATTATTATTATTGTTTAAAAAAAAGGCTGTCACTAAGGGAAGAGATTGTTCTCAAGGGTTTTTCTTCTCTGTTGGAGCAATGGCTAAAGGATTATCTGACTTGCAGATTTTCAGATTTCTATTTGGCCTACAACTGAGGATAGAGAATGTATAGAGTATCTGTAAAATCAGTTCCCCATCATACATGTAAAACAGTTTGGATGAATCCCTGATGATACCCATGATGAAATTGGTAAACTTAATTGGAAGACAAGCCATGAATCCTGAGAACATTCCTTGTAAAACCCCTTGAAACAAACACTCCTAACTTCAGTTAGCTGCATGTAGAAAATATACTTGCATTGATGTAAAAAGTCTACCTAAAGTGCTGATTTGGCAAAGATCTAATTGCAGGATAGAAGCTTGTAGTTTGAGAGCTCAACAAAGATGATTTTTGTAGGAAGGTTTGTGGGAGAGATTAAGGCAGGTTAACACCACAAACACATAGTCAGCTATTTAAACTGCAACTGCCTCGCATCATGAGAACAGTTATTCTGTTATGCTCTGAAATAGGAATTTCAGAGACATTGAATATATACTGCAATGTAGTCACTATTGTAATGGAATCACTTGGCTGCTTTAACTTCTCTGTAACATATACATTTGGAAGATTATGCTAATGATGTAAATATTACAGGTGGAATTAGCAAAAACAATAGATAAATCACAAGTATCTTTCCAAGAGAGCAGAAATAGCTCTTTGACTACTGATGGAGATAGGAGTTCCATTTGAATTTCAGAAAATGGAGCATCATCAGTTCTATTTTTCAGAACTTAAGATACAGAAAGAGCTTCATGACTGTGGTATTACAATCATGTATATTCCTTTCCTGCAGGTGCCACTGCAGCTTTTGACCCTGTTCTTCGCACTGTAAAGTATCTGTGCTGGTAGAAAGGCTTGTTTTAATGTAAGTACAGCCATTGCAATGGTTACAATGAAGACAGATTAGGTACTATTATTTTAATACAAAGGAAATACTCCATCCCCAGGCAGGATTAGTATTATACACATGAAATAAAAATCCTTGAGTATATATTGTATATATAATAATGATGAGACATTGTAATATTCCACAATATGGGCAAAATATGCTTATAATAAATTAAGACAGTGGTTGAGGGCAGTGGCTGCCAACTGGCTATTAAACCATTAAATGATACCTCCTTAATTCATAAATTAATGAATTTTACCTAAACTAGTCTTAACAGTGAATATGCCCAATATATTTGCTTATGTAGAATGTTGGTAAGGCTGATTCTTATGATCTTCCCTATACAAGATAGTACTTATGCATTAATTTAATTTTTAAATCTTTAAGTAAAGTATCTGTGGAAATTAAATTGAAATTACTTGCTTGCGTGTAAGTTTTCTGGAAACTGTGGTTGAAATTAGAAGAGGTAGGATTTTGATTGTCTTAGCTTTCTTCACATACAATAAAGTCTTGATAAAAAAAATTATCTGTTTTTAAAAAAAAATTATCAAGGAATGCATTAGTTTCTATAGCAGCCAGACTACATTTGTATGTATTTTACATCTTTGGTCTAAATAACCTAAGCAAGGTTATGTGTGCTGAAAATGTGATTACAGTAACTTTTAAATCTGTGTCCATCTGCTGGTGTTTGAAAATAAGATAATGTACGAATGCCTCTTCAGCTAGTGTAAATAAAGCTCTTGATTTTTTAACAAAACTGCCTGCTACATCAGTGAAGTGGCAGGCTTGTAACATTTTAAAAGACTAGTTCTACAGGAACTTGCAGCAACTTTGCCTCAGACTCTGAAGCATTTGATGTAGACAAACAAAAAACCACAATGAAAAGCATACATACAGAAGAAAATGAAAAAAACTTTCCCAACAGGAAACTAAATGGGACAGCAACTATTGCTTAAAGTTTTGGGTTTTTTTTTTAAGGCTTAGGCTTCTGGATGGCTGCAACAGAGTTGAGGCTGGGGAGCAGCCAGTCAGCACACAAGTACAGCACACCAAATTAAAATTACAAAGGGCAGCTGAAGTGGGAAGTATCTATCTTAAGTGCAAGATTAACCAATACTGCATGTAGTGCTAGCTCTGTTTGTTTTTCTGAAAAACCATCTAAAATTCAGTTATCTTAAGTTTAGTCTTGGACCCAGATAGAAAAGAAGCAGTGAGTATCAGCCTTTGAAAATGTGTATTCTGGGTGGGACTGCCTAAGGGACAACATGGAAATATTTTGTGCAACATACCTTAGACAGTAGGTTCTTGATTTGTTTTTCAGGGAATGATGCAACTGCATAGGAATGCTTGAGAAAGAATTAGGCAAGAAAAGTTTAGTAAAAGTTTGCCCTATGAACAGTGCCTTGAGCAATGTCATACAGAGATGACAAACTCCACTGAACAGTACAGCTGCACTCCCACAATAGCAGATGTTTATTCTCTCTAAAAATAAAGCTGTGTTATAATCTCATTCATAAAGGTTGTGTGTGAATATATATATTAAAAAAAAGAGAGATTTTAGCCATGGTTTGGTAGGACCTTCAAGCTTTTTGTAAAGCTGCAATTTGTGACATGATTACTTAAGCTTTCCAGTTTCTTCACCATGGAAGTACACAATGTAATTGTTTAGTGGCATTTTAAGTTTCTCACTTGTCTAATTTTGCTTTTCTGTTTAGTGACACAGATATCCTGTTGTTTTGATTGAAAAATGAGATCGTATGCCCTCCTTATTGTTACTAATGGCATAACTATATTTACAATAGGCTATTTAGCCAATTCTAATTCCTACCACTGCAGAGGCCATATACTGCCAACAGGCCTTTTTCTCCTGTAGTCCTCACTCCAGGCATCCTTAATGCACTCCAGAAGCTGTTAGATCATTTAAGGAAAAAAAATAGGAAATTTAAAACAAATTATTAAGAGACTAGGTATTAAAAAATTTTTTTTTTGTAC